ACCACAGCCTGACAAGAATCAGCGTGCAGGTGAAGGTACGGGACAGCAAGGAGCTGGGACAGCAAGATCTGAAGACAGCAGTGCCTCAGTCCCCAGGACACACCAGCACTGAGAAACATCCTCCCCTCATCCAAAGCTCACCAGGTTCCACCTGGGCACCCCGTCACCAACAGACTTTGAGGCTTCTAAAGCAAGGCACTGGTGTTCACCACGGCTTCTCTGCATGACAAAACCCCACAGTAACAAAACCACCTTTTTCCATCCAACTGAAAGGCCTGAACACCCAGCCACTCCGTGAGGGCTTTCCGGTCAGGGGTGCCTTCTCACCCACACTGTCTCCCCGGCAGCCCTTTCTCCCACTGCCCCAGACAGGACTTCAGGTTCCTAAATGAGGACTCTTCTCATGAGCACTGCAGGGAGCCCCTGATGTCAGATGATCCACACGGCGACAGCACAGAAATGCTGACCACATTGGGCATTCCATTCAAAGCTTGGCACTAACCATATATACCAGCCTAATTCCATTGCAAGTTTAAAATAGTACAATCAGCCCTAGCCAGTTTGGCTCAGTGGTTAGAGGGTCAGCCCACGGACTGAAGGGTCCCAGGTTCCATTCCAGCCAAGGGCACATACCTTGGTTGTAGGCTCAATCCGCGTGCAGGAAGCAACCAATCGATGCAACTCTCTCACATCCATGTTTCTCTCCCCTCCCTCCCTCTCTCTGAAAAGCAATGGAAAAAATATCCTTGGGTGAGAAAAAACAAAAACAAACAAAAAACTCAGCAACTTTATGCTACTAGAGGTTAAACGTCACCCAACAAGGAGATGCTGGAGAAAATTCTGTAGAAAGCATCAGGGTGAGCAGTTAATACAATTAACTGCAGATCTAGGGCACTAGCAAAGGTGAGGGTATGAGTGATGCCGTGTGCTTTGACAACTGACCAAACATGGAGGGGTAACGGGGAGAGAAAGGTGGACACTAGAACACGGCACTGGTTGTCTCAGTAGCTGGGAGTCAGAGATAGGGCTTCGAGCTGACAAGTCAACTAATAAAAGTGTGTTCAACAGAACAAAGTAAGCATTAAAAAAAAAATACTATTGACTAAGATTGGGAGATGCAGAAGAAAAAGGAGAGAAGTTTGTGTAATAGGTGAACCTGGTAGATAACCACCGGCTACTGTCTAAAGAAGGAGGGTAGGAAGGCTATTGTATAAAAAAACATGTTCTGCAGAGAGATAATTACCAAGTACAAACCTCCCTAATGACCAAAGGAACCGTGTATTTTTAAAAAGAAAGCAAACAAGTCAGTAAAATGAGAGCTGTTAAAGCAAGCGCACATGTCTGCAGGAGTACACAACGCTGTCTGAGACTGTCCCCAGGAGCCCACGGAAGTGAGCCCCATCACCTAACCAGCCCCCATCCACTCTCACCTGTACTGCAGCTGCTCAAGGGCTCCGATTCCTCAGCTCCCGTAAGATCCAGTACCCACAGCTCCTCACCTTGCTCCAGCTGGGAGATCAGTTCTGGCTTAGGGACAGGGAGTCCTGTTGAGGTGAGGGTCCTGGATAAGCTAGTGTAGCCTGGGGAGCTGCAGCAGAGCACTACCTACTGGGTCTTCCAGGTCAGGTGACAAGTGTAGTTTTCCTGAATCTCCCCACCCCTCCACACTACCCCCAAGTCGGAGTGGGGCAGGGGTCACAAAGTGTGTGTGTTGGGGGAGTGGAAGGGGTTGGTCAGGGGAAGCAGGGGCTGAAAGTAAGCGCTGAAGGAGAGTAAAGCATCAGTTCTCCAGCCCCTGGGGTGCACAAGTAGGTGTGGGCATGCAGAGTGAAGTCTGGAATTGGGAGCCAGGCACAGATCAGACTGGTACCTGGGGCCTAGGGGTAGGACCGTCCTCTTTGGGCACCAAAGTTTGGAAGCAGCCCTGAGCTCCCTAGAGGCCCACACCACAAGCCCAGGGAGAGCCGCACCCAGAGAGGCCACGTGCCCGTAGTTCTCCAGCATCACATCCCTGTACAGCGCCCGCTGGTCTGGGCCCAGCTGCTGGCCCTCCGCGCGAGAGAAGTATACAGCCACGTCCTGGAAGGTCAGCGGCACTGCCTCCTGTAACGACAGGTGGCCGCTGCCCTGGGGCTGCGCCCACTGGGCACACCTGCTGCGCTCAGCCCGAGGACCAGCCGCCCTCTTGGGCAATGAGGACCCGGATGAGCCCCCAGAGACCCTCTCCTTGGGGAGGGCGTGAGTCCAATCCCAGAGCCCTGTCCTTGGGTGCCGGGATGCCTGGCTTCTCCAGGAGCTGGGCTCACCACTCCAGAGGAGGGAGGGCAGGAGGAAGGTAAACTCACCTGGGGTGCTGGAAGCCCGAGTGCGGCTGCCATCCTGGGGGAGCAGGATCTGAAGGAAGACTCAGGACCTGAGGAGGGCTGCCCGGGCCCTGGCCTCCCCAGCTCACCCTCGGAGGGAAGGAACCCACTCAGACCCACAGTGTCCTTAAGTCACTCCATTAACTTCCAGGGCCCAAGGGGTGTGAGGGATGGACAGGTGAAGGGTAGCATTAATGGGTTCCTGGTGTGGCCTCCTGGGGCCACAGCACATTCCCTTATAGAAACTGCTGGTCGCAAGGCCGGAGTAGCTCAGCGGTTGAGCATCGACATATGATCCAGGTGATTTCGGTTTGATTCCCGGTCAGGGCACGTGCCGGGATTGCGGGCTCCATCCCAGTGGGGGGCGTGCAGGAGGCAGCCGATCAGTGACTCTCTCATCACTGATGTTTCTCTCTCTCTCCTTTTCCTTCCCTCTCTCTGAAATCAATAAAGACATATTTAAAAAGAAAAAAAAAGAGTTGCTGGTCAGAGGCAGACCGCCCTGCAGTAGGGCCCAATGCGTGCCTGACTGCCCGGCGACACGCTAAGTCCCTCGAACTGACAGAGCCAGAGTCCAGGTGAGGCCGGGAGCTGAGGGCTAAGCTGGCCGCCCCGGTGGTCGTTCCCGGCCGGCCGGGCGAACCGCGCCCGGCACAGGCTGCGCAGCCCCCGCCCCCCCATGGCGAGAGGACGTGCGCGGGGCCGGGTGGGCATGAGCCACCCAGACGCAGGCACAAGCCCGCCTCAGCCCCACGTCCCCAGCCTCCTGCGTCGCCGCCCACATCCTCGCCGCCGCCCCTCAGGCCAAGCTGAGGTCCTCATTCTCCCAAGTCTCCCCTGCGGCCTCCTCCGGGCCCGCGAGCTCTGGCGCCCAGGGCTGCGGACACCGCTCGCCGCTTCCACCGCGCGCGCGAGCCGGGGGGGCCGACCTTCCGCCCGGCAGGTCCTCCCTTAAACCTCCGC